TCAACCCACCCCAACTCTCTATATTATCAAATAGAAGACTCAAATATAAGAAATGCAGTAATACTACCTACTGTGAGAGGCATTTTCCACTTTTTAATTGAAGGGTTCCAAACCTCACTTCATCACTCAGTCCCTTGCTTCTTTCCTCCTCTATTTTCCTTTTCGGCTCTTTATACCAATGTGATTTAATTCCAAGTGCATATTTCAATTACGTCTTCCATGATCTTTAGATCCAGATGTAGCACTGGTCCATCAATAGCAGCATCCCTTCCTCTCGCACCCAGTCTAGTATCTCTTAGGTCGATATCCAGTAGCTCCAGTAGTAGCAGAGGGATAAATTGGTAGTAGAAGATAACGAACTAGAGTCTCAGAGAGAGATCAGAAGAAAAACTCAATAAGGAGAAGGTGGAACCCAGGTGCTACATCAAAAACTAGGTGTTACCTGGGGCCGCACAACTCAGGAAAACTCTCTACCCGTGCGGTGTGAAAGGAATAGCCTTGAATCTTGAGAATGAGAATGTAGGGATTATTATCTTTGGTAGTAATACTGCTATTAAAGAAGGAGATCTTGTCAAGTGCACTGGATCTATTGTGGATTTTCCTATGAGAAAGGCTATACTAGGGTGTGTGGTCGATGGCTTAGGAGTACCTATTAATGGAAGGGGGCTCTAAGCGATCACGAATGAAGACGTGTGAAAAGTGAAAGTCTCTGAGATTATAGAATGTAAATCAGTGCACGAGCCTATGTTAATAGGTTTAAAAGTGGTAGATAGCCTAGTTCCTATAGCATGGTCAATGAGAACTTATAATTGGAGACCGACAAACTGGAAAAATTGTTATTTCTATCAATACCATATTAAACCAAAAGCAATTGAACTCAAGGTCCACCTCTGAGAGTGAGATATTGTATTGTGTTTAGGTAGCGATTAGACAGAAAAGCTCAATTGTGGAACAGTTAGTTCAAATTCTTTTAGAAGCGAATGCTTTGAAATATTCTATTCTTGTAGCAGTCACCACTATGGGTCCTACTCCTCTACAATTTTTGGCCCCATATTCTGGGTGTGCCATCGGGGAAAATTTCTGCGAAAATAGAATGCACGCATTAATAATCTATGATGTCTCGATCAGTGATCGATGAACTTCCTTGCCTCTGTATCTCACCTACCGAATGACCACAAAGTACAAGACATTATATAGAAATAAAAACTAAAACATGTATATGTGTATGTTGAGCAAGTAATTAAAAATAACTAGACATTATATAGAAAGAAAAACTAAAACATAAAAAGTAGTGTGTCACAACATCAGCAAGTAGGGATACACTCAAACATTAATTTGTGGGAAAGACCAAAATGATAAACTTCTATACCCTTTTTCCAGCTATTAATTATTATGTTAAAACATACAAAATTAAAAGGGTAATTTACAAAGTTAATCTTTGAAATCTTTCAAGAAACATATTATGCATGTATTAATAAATCTTCACTTTCTCCAAATTAGCTCATTAAAAATCATGCATGTACCTAATGCTTTACATTTTTCATAGTTAACTTCTTCAAATTTTAATATATTGATCTTCATAATTTGAAATTAAAACAATTCCTTTAATACCTCTATTTATAAGGTAACTGTCACGACCCAAACATAGGCCCGAATCGAGACACGAGATAAGAAACTTCGAGGGACTCCAAGTCGACTCATGGCATGAACATAATATCTAACTCAATCATAAAAGTATAAGAGCAATATGATAAAGTTAGCGGAAGTCTGAAATAAGCGTAACATCAGAAATACACACGAATTTGAAGTTGATTATATTCTATGTTTGAAAAGCCTCTAATACTGATGAGTTGATGGGACAAGACCTCCAACTAACTCTCTAAGTCTGAAACTGAATACATAAAAAAAATGATAAAGCATGATCCTCGGGAGATGAGGACTCACCAACAGATGTGGGATGCTAACTCTGAAAGCTGGCTAGTGGCGGGGTTGAGTCTGATGATCGGTGCCTATATCATAAAATGATACAACATAGAGTATGCAGTCAGTACATGGAATGTATCGAGTATGCAAGGTAAGTAAAACCGCTTAAGTAAGTAAAATCATTTAAAACATGCATAATGTAAAACATGATCAAAACAAGAATCTGAGAGCAGGACTTGCATGCTATTTTCTAAAATCATGATTTGAACATAACATAACATCATAACTGAATCGATTGACCTAAAGTTGAAATCTGATAATCATAAGTAAAATTGAACATTGGGTCAAACCTGCTTTAGAACATATGTATATATATCATGAGTGATAAACATGCATAACTGAAATCATGAGGAACAATGGGAGACTTGTCTTATAATCGACATACCACGATAGAGCTTATGTGGTCCCAACTATCACACTCAAGTGGGTAGAGCGGTCCAAAGCCTTGTTAAGGCTAAGGACGATAACATGATATCAATATCAAGCTCGAGGCCCAATCAGTGCAGGGGATAGCTCACAAGGGAGGTCTCAAAGTATATATGATATGTATAACCTACATTGGCACGCAGTTCTGAGGCATAGGGTGATCGACCCTTAGCCTAGTCGGTGCTAGACACTACTCCCAAAAACATGCATATGCTCTCCATTGTTTTTTCAATGAAACTCACCATCGTCTATTGGTGAAGCTCAATAATCAATTACATATCAAATCTGTAATCATATATATGAGGAGCTCTTTGCTCAAACCATACCAAAAGCTAAATATAAATGGGAGTCTTCGCTCCAAAACCATGTGGTAAGCTTATTCGTAAAATCATAAATCATACCTGAACATATGGGCATTGCCCGATACTTTAACATGCTTGAAAACACATAATTCACTTGAAAACATGATCATAAACATGGGTAACTTGAAAACATGCTTTTCATCAATAATATCTCATCATACTTGACCATTCATTGTAAATCTCAACTTTCATGAACTTCTCATAAATGGGCATTTTAATTTATAAAGCTTGAAACATGATTTTAATGAAAAACAACATAAAACTTGCCCATGAATCATAATTCAATAGTAGGAACATATTTAGATCATACCCATGTAGAGAATTAGGAATTTCATGCATTGGGTTAAAACCCCATAGAGTCAACATATGAATTTTCATGATTTAGAGAGAGATTGGGCATGGGTGTGAATGAATTCACCCATTCATAACCCTACATACCTGGGAAGAACTTATTTTACCACTCCCTGATTGCCTAATGAATAATTGAAGAAAACTTGAAGGAAAATAAACTTGATCACCTCTCTAGCTCTCTAACTTTGCATGCATGACTAAGAATGGCCTAAAAATGAACTTACCCCTCTTAAAACTCATCATTCGTATCTTAAAACAACGTAGTTTAGGCCTTAGTATCATAGAAATTAAGGAAAAACCCTTACTAAATTCGCAGGAATTAACTGACTGATAGTCCCCACGGGGGACTAGACGAATCGTCACCCAAGACCACGATCGTGCATCGGTCGTCGTGTGCACTGTTCAATAATTTATCTAGGACTCGACACGAGGGAACCTAAGAGTCTTTACTGGTGACCACGAGTCGTGGTCACCACTCATCACCTTCACTGCCCAAATTCTCAAATCATCAGCAACCGGCTGGCCACGACTCATACCATGAATCGTGGTGTCTGACCACGACTCGTGGTGACCAACCGTAGGGTACACTGCCAAGTTTTCTTCTCCTTCCCATAGCCCTTGACCACGAATGACTCAACGACTCATGGGGACTGACCACGACTCGTGGTCAGGTCCATGGGAACTTCAAAATCCAAAATCTCAACTCAAGTCCTGCACCTCACCACGAGTCTCTTCACGACTTGTGGTATGGTGCTAGATTTCCAGTTTTCTAAGTTTCAACTCTTGGTTCTAATCATAGGGATTCTAGGGTATAATAGTAACTCCCATGATGACAACTTTTCATAAGTACTATAATTGAAACGTCACGACTCAAATTGCCGTGATTGGTACCCACACTAACCCTCTGGTGGGTGAACCAGCAAAACCGAATAACAATTCCAGAGTGACCCCAAAATTAAAACATTCATGAAAAAAACCAACTATTATGTTAAAAAAAACAATTCCAGATCACTACACTGCGCATACCAAAACTAAATAACTAATATCCCAGAACCCAATTATCATTGCACAAGACGTCTATTTTCACAAGCTAAGAAACTAAAATTAAAAATGAAATAAACTATCCAAATGTTTGAAAGAAGGACATATGTAATGAAGGAATGAACTGCATCCTCATTTGTTATAACACCCCTAAATTTTCCTAGACCAAATTCAGACGTTGCATGAAAAGACAGAAAAACATTAGAAAAATTTCTGCCTTAGACGACCCAGACAATAGACCGTTGGTGGAACCCACGGGCCGTTGTAAGGAGTTGTGGTTTGCTCAGCAAATTCCTCCCAGAAACAACGAGCTGACCAATGAGTCGTTGGTAGTTCCAATGACCCG